TACATGCCTTCTGATGGAAAAGTTATACATGTATAGAAAAGTTATAGCCTCCCGATACTTGCACATACTCGGATGTACTTTAAAGTAGAAAGAGGCATTTTCGTTAATTAATGGAAACTCGAACGAGACTCTTACCATTTCTTGGGGTTTCTTCATCCTTAAATTGCATGTATCTGCATCGGAGACACTATTCCGTGTCTGACTCAATTCCTATTTGCACAGGAAATATAATGATTTAATTATCTATAAAGCAAATATCCATTCATACGAGTGCATGCATTATTTTCTTTCAATGGCTCATCCCATGAATGAATGTTGACATTTTGCTAGGGGAAATGCTTTCTTAAAGCAGCCATACATGCCATTCCTGCGAGTATTTCCAATTCCAATTCGTGTGCCCCACAAAGGAGAACAGACAGGACAATGGGAATAGCAGGAGTCTGAGCAGAGATATCAGGAATCCGACACATCTTGAGTGTGTTTGCATGTTTCCTAATCATTTTCATTTATTTCATTTAACATTTACCAATGTCCTCCCCCACCCCACTTCCCAGTCGAACAGGAAGATGTCATAGATATGCTAAGTACTCCGGATCCGTATACGCATCCGTGTGACACGACTGACATACGCATTTAGTATAACAACATTTGCCAGATGTATGGCAATCGAATCAATAACTAATGCGATTTTGACAACCTTCACAGCCCGACGACAAGGGAGCACTTGCTGACTTGGGAAACATAACTTTTAGCCAAGACAAGGGGGGGGCGGTGTGAGTCTGGAGAAAAGATACTCGAGAAACTGCTTACAGCTCAGTGCACAACACTTCAGACCCGATCCTCCTGCTCCTCCTACTCCTCCTACTCCTCGTCCTCCCCTTGAAGTTGTTTCACTTTGTTTTCAATTGCAAAAGTTTCGCCAATGCTGAATTCTTTCTGGTTCTCTATGGCAAAGGCGGGCAGAACCAACCCCTCCCAAGGCACAAAGTCACGTTTTCCAGTAAGTGGCGAACGAGATGTGATTTAAATGAAGCTGAAACCCGCTGGTGGATTGCCAGCCATCCAGGAACTGCTCAAACCACCCATCCATCTAGCCGAGGACTGCATTAAGTTATACCCAAAAACAGGAATATCGAATCATAAATATGAACCCCGCCGCATTGCATCATCGAGCAAATTGCTGGAGGAGCCACTAAAATGGAAAACTACGCCCAGAGACCGCAACCGTATGTGTCCTCAGGCACACCCTTCGGCCACTCCTCCGTCTGCGACAGTTGAAGACATCAATTTTTACTTTTATTTCCCGGCGTCGTGTTCGCGACGATATTTTTGGGTCTTCTGTGGCGAAAAAAAGGGGTTCCACTACAGTGAAAAGGGGAGTAAATTGTAGAGGACTAGGTTGCGTTGGGACCAGGGCAATACCCTGCACTGCCTTCAGAGAAACTGAAAGGGAAAATCCATGATCTAGGATTGTATATTCCAAAGTATTACTCCAGTACTCTGTATTCTATGAAACTCTCATATAGTCGTACTATAATGCTGCCAAATTCTTTCAGGCATTTCCCAGGGTATCCCTGACTCCCATCCCCCATTATTTGTACCCCCACACGATACACTCAAACCTTTGCTTAGCGATTCAATTCAATTGATTCAATTGGGATTGTATCGGTCTCCGTTTTATGCTCGTTTTGGCCAACACATATTACAGCTTACTGTATTCCTCCTCCTCCTCCTCCTCCTCCCTGCTGCTGTTGCTGTCGCCTGTTCCCGAGTGCCTCATTTATCTGCTGCCAATGGCTCCGTCTCCCTCGGAAACGTTTTACTTGTGTGTTTGTTGGTGTGTGTGGGAGGGACATTTTCGACCAAAATTTAATATTATACGAAAAAAACTTTGTTTTTTGTTGTACTTTACAGTTTTTCGCTCGCTCTTTTACGAGCCGATAATGTTATTGGCTTAGGAATTTTATGAATTGACCATTTTCACAGAGGGATAGATATTTTATCTGTCGATGCGATGGCTGGGCCATGACTTGTGCAATTTGCATCAAAAATTGTGTCACGACTAGTTTCGTTACACTTCATTCCATTTCTTTTGTGCATATTTTACCCCGGCCCGATCCGGCCCGTCCCGGCCCGGCCCAGAGAGAGGTTTTACGAGTAGATGATACGATGGCTCGCTTGGAATTTCCGTGCACTTTGAGCTTTGCCTTTTCTTGGCCCAGATCCATACCCATTCCCAACCTCCGGCCATTCTGTGGATGCCATTGTCTGGGAGGAAGGACAAAATATTTTGCGACTTTGCGTGTGGTTCTCACAGTGGTTTGGGTCCTCAGAATGTGGGACAACAAATTGGGGCTTGGGGGATGGATGGAATTTGATATGTGTTTGATGATGGAAACTTGAAAGTCACATCAGGTGCTCTTGAAATTACTTTGTTGGCAAAAATGTTAAATATCATGTTGTGTGGCAAAAGTTTCATATGGGAATTTTTGTGAAATGCCTGGAAAAGTTTTCTCTTTTAAATATAATATATCTCAAACATGCATGTATTTCATAATATACCTGTTTAATATTAACAAATTCTTGTCTTTCTTAAATCGGAACCAGTGCCGTATAAATCTTTGCGGAGTATTGAATTTCAATCAAACTTTATTCCACTGCAACTCCAGGATTTTCCAATACTTTCGTTCTCCTTCGTTTAGAGTTTCCCAAAAGTAAATAACAAGTGAAATGCAATACAAAAACTTTGCTCCATCGCTAACTCTTTCAGACCACAGTGCCTGAATGCAGTCCACACATGGCTGTGTACATGTGCTACTGACTGTCTGACTGTATGCATCGTCTGCACTTTGACACTCACTGAGAGTTACAGTCCTGTCATTGAGCTATTTTGTTCGAGTGCCAACCGAAAGTTTGGAGCAGTATAAAAAAAGTTTGCACCCATCGCCGAAGCGGAGAAAGTTTTCTGCGGACGACAGAAACTTCTTGTGCCGTTTGTTGCTTCTCTGGATTAATATTTTCTTTTGCGTGTCCTTCCGTTTTCATGGCGCATTCCGGGGCGCCTCTCGCTTATTTGTTGCCCTGTCCCGCGTGCCGGCCACTTGAAATGCAATTTCAAAGAAATATTCCACTCAAGGGTATCAAAATACACGCTGGCTGGCTGGCAGAGCTTTTTCTTGCTTCCTCCTTTGTAAAGCTATCTGTTTTTTACGCCAAAGTTGCATGTCAGCTGTGTGGCAGTCAGTCTGGTGTGGTCTGTCAGGTCAGTTTGTCAGTTGGTTTTTTAGTGCAGTCCATTTGACGTCAGCTTATCTTTTGCGCTTGTCTTCATACAGTGGAGATTGCTGTTCAATGAACAGGGGCTGAGAAGTTATAAACTTTATTGAGCTGGAGCCAGGGGAACTTATGCTGCAATGGGGATTCTCGTATGACAGTTGCACGAGCAGTACCCGCTGTAGTTAGGGAATCAACGGAGTCCCTTTGCCCATAAAAACTCCTCCTCGTCTGGTTCTGGTACATGCGTTGAGAGCTTTTTAAATAATATATGCGTGACATGCCACAGAAATGCTGTGGAAGCGCTACAGCGAAAATATTGCATTGTTTTTGCAGTGTAAGCATGCTCTACAGCCTCCCTCTCTCTCTCTCGAAGAAGAAGAAGAAGAAAAAGGCATTTCAAATGGCACACTAAATTACTAAAGCCCACACGCACACACTCCTCCACACAGCTTCTCAATCGCACTCTTTGTCTCTCCATCACAGTAAAGGAAAGGAGAGGAAGGCAAGTATCGAGGACCGAAACTTTTGATACCGCTAGGCTGTTTCTATGGGAATATATTGAGAGCAAATAAATATGTCTTTTAAAGCTGATCAAGAGTACATACTGTTAACTCCGCTGTTAGCTCTTAACAGCGCTCTGGTGCCAAGGCGCTCTCGCTCTCTTTCTTTTGCGCTCTTACGATCCACTCGGCGCTCACCGTTCCCTGAGCTTGTAAGCTACGATTCCAGCCCCGCTACAAGCTGCCGTGTTTTTTGGATTCCGTTCGATCCGCCCTCCTACAAATATGTACATACGTACACTGTGGGGCCTCATAAATGTCTCCTTCTGTGTGTTACAAACCACTCTTCAAAATCGTCACGCCCCCTCTAAGGACACAGCAACGGCATGCAGCTGAGAATACAATTTACGCTTTGCCAGGCGTTTTTCATGCATGTTTGTTGCTGCCGCCGGCAAAGTTTTTATGGTCGCATCATGCAAGAAGCGCCTTGTAGTTGTTCCTCCTGTCCTGTTTGCCTTAACCCGTATGCACGAGTATGTGGTGAGGTGGGGTGGGGTGGGGTGTGTGCCTGCTTGTAATGTGCATCTGGTTGACAAAACTTTGTGAAATCATTAAGAGGCGCACTCGAATGCAAAAACCTCAAAAAAAGAAAGGGAAAAAAGTGTAAAGTGAGAAGAGAGTGCGAGTGCTCGTCAAAGCTCTCAGAAAGTTGTGCAGTTTGTCAGGAGGACGCGAGTAGGACATGAGTTTAATAGCAGCAACGAATTAAGAGTGGGAGTGAGAGTGGGAGAGAGATAATGAGATTAACAGAGAAAAAGGTCTCTTATTGTTATTTCATGGTGAATTTAATCACAGCTTGCAGGCGTCTTTCAGAGGCAAAGAGGCTCCTCCTCTTCTGCTATTTTTGGTTGTGCCTCGAGCGCAGTAAGTCGCAGTAATGTTTCTCTCTCTCTCTGTTATATTCTATGAGCAAACTGCCGACAAAGCATTGCCTCATCCAATTGCTCTCCTTCCGTAGTTGCTCTTTGATCTCTCTCTCTCTCTCTTGAAGACCACAGCACCACGCCACACTCTTCTGAGACGACTATCAGACGAGTTAAAGGCATAATAGAAAACTCTACTAGATAGTTTCTGTCCAACTCCGATACATACATATGTACGTACGTTACTGGTAGCATTTGAAACGATAAGCACAGATACCCCTAACCAGAAATCAACTCAGCGATGGGGTACACTCTTTATTTAAACAAATAATTTTTGATCAATCCCAAAATGCCGAGATAAACTACAGTCATGAATGGATAGCTGGATGGATTACTGGTCGCCCTTGAAATAACCATAATTGGCGTCGTGCCGTTATTATCAATCATATCTATAACAAAACGCTTCAATAACTCCACCTTTCCACCGCCGTTATAGACACGAAAGGCGTTACTGTCAATCCATACCAACTTTGGTACGGCGGTAATGTGATACCTCTTGCATATGGCTTTGAAATCCGTACAATCGAGCTCCGCAATGCAGACAGCCGTCACATTTCTCAGCTCGCTGGCCAGATCAATCCACACCTGTTTAATGGCGGTACAGAATGGGCAGCTGGGTTGAAAGAACTTCACAAAGGATTTCATACTTTTGATGCTTGAATCGAAACTTTTGTCGGTCAATGTAAAGACTTGCCCAGGAGCACAATTCTGGGGGGCATCTTCCTTTATCACGACTGCTTTTTCGGTGGTTTTTTCGGACATAAAGCTACTCAGATTGTATGATTTCTTTGCGACTCCGTCGTCCTTTTCAAAGTACAGGAGAGTCGGATACATTGTGACATTGTTACTGATGCAAAATGACTCATATTTGGAGCAGTTTATGGCGCCAATGGCCAGGCTCGTGCTGGCCGTATTCTGGATCCCCATCAGCTTCCACAATATGCTATATAAACTATTGCAGCTCTCGCAGAGCGTTGCATAGAACTCGACTATGACATTCTTCTCCTTCAGATTTGTTTCGAAATCGTCGGTGCTCCAGTCGATGGTTCGGTGATCGGTGTCCTCTACTCCTGATGCCGATGATTCAACCGATATTTCTAATAGAATGATGAATACCAATACAGCATTAAGTAAATATCGTTGAAACATTTTCGTTGGTAGTTCTTGTCATGTATTTCACGGCTGATTTTGTTCAACTATAGTGGTACATGATACATATACATATGTAGTTCGGTAGATAACTGGAAAATACAATCAATTCTAACTGTCAACAAATTTGACAGAAAATATCACCATATTTATCGTTAGACAACTAGCTGCTATTGTTCTTATATCTTCGAGATGGGATCCTTTGTACGCCATAATTTCATCGAAAAATTCTTATCAAGACTGCGGCCATTCTCTTAGCATATTTCTTTTGCATTTTTCGCAATTTTCGCCGGGGGTAAACTCCTTTGAGGATCTCGTGCGGACTTCCTGCGGACTATCTTAAATGAATACTAAAATAAATAAAGATTAATGCCATGTATTTGTTCGTAAATTCTGCACACATTTTGTAAATAAAAACCATTCTAATCAGAGTTTATTTGTCTAGAATTCAATTTGGAACTAAGATTGGCAGCTTAATGGCCAAATAGAGGGCAAGTGTGATAAGGTTCATCGTCAGATAAGACCTTGTTCTGGCTCCTGACTTCTCGATGAAAGTACCATTCGATGCTATCATTTTCTCGACAAAGCTTTTAAAATGCTCCAACTCGGGATCGGGTTCGGCATCGTAGGCGCGAACTTTGCGGCCGTTCTCGTACCACAGGAAAGTCGGACTTGGTCTGATTTGCAGATGGTGGCAGATTTCTATCGATTTACTACAATCCAAGTCCGAAATGCAAATGGTGCCCTTGGCGTTCAGTTCCCGGGCCAGTCTGACCCATTTCAGCTTTGCCTGATCGGCCATGTAGCTGAGTGGGGGCTTAAAGATCATGATGAAAAATTTTCCAGTGTGGGTCAACAGATTAAAATTGTTGGTATTCAGCTGCAAGACCTCGTCATGCTTACAGGCCTCGGACACGGGATCGTCATCATCATCGTCCCCAACAACAACATCGTCAACATTACTGTCTTTTACAGCTGCCATCAAGCCAAGAATTTCAGCACTTTCAGTTACAAAATTGTGCGCCTCGTGATGCCAGTGATGTGAAGTTTCATCATCATATGATAGTCCTCTTCGAATAGCTGCAACGATTGCCACCAGTAAGAGCAATCGTTGAAACATATTTGTGCGTAATACGCCTAATTTTAATGTGAGTGATACAAAAAACTTTTATGTATTGTCATAAAAATGAACTTTTAAGCCCGACTTCCTTATCTCCCAGGAAGATCACTAGTATCGAATGCAAAACCCTCGAAATGTATAATTTTCTTGTATATATTTCATTAGAAAAGTCATATAGATATGTTGGATTGGTTCGGCTTATTGAGTTTTAGAAACTTGTGGGGATTTCGCTTAAAAATTAATTACACATGCTTGTAGTATGTATGACAATGGTAGCAGAGTAGAGTTCGAATAGAGTTGAGTTAGGATGATCGTTGGCTGCTCAGTGCCACTGTCCGCCCTCGGTGAGCTTCCGGGGATCGATGGTCAGGCCGAGCTTCTCGAGCTTTCGCACCTTGCGCATCTGCTTGGTGAGCCGCCGCTTGAAGGTGATCTCCCTGTTGAGATTCATAATCTCGATGGTGTCGTACTGCCGTATGTTCTTGATGGTCTGCAGTATCAAATTGTCCGTCAGGTGCAGCTTGATGGTGGACATCTTCATGAAGGGCACATCCCGACGTCTCAGCTCCTCGCGGTACGCAAACAGGGTGTAGTGCAGGGAGGGCATCGAGGGCAGAGGACGCTCCAATTGAGGGAATAATAAATCGGCCATGACTCGAAAACTATCTGATCTGATCTGTTCGCGTCGAGTTTCCGGAACGCACTGGTGTCATGGCTCATGCCAACTCTCGGTTTTATATCCCAGCCACTGGCTACCTGCGAGGGAAATCCTACTTCTTCTTAAGGAGGATTGCGATTGCTTGAGCCACCAGTATTCTTTTCTATGGAAATCCCTACGGTGGCAGCTGGCGCTCCGGCCACCTTGCTACCTGCTGTGGCAGCTGCAAATTGATATTCTCTACCGAGCCACGCGATTAGTCGGGAATTTTCCTTTCCCATTTCCTTAACGCAATTCACGTATCACATAAACTCGGATTTCGATCGCTTTCGGTGCTGAAATTTTAATGAGCTCGCGACCTAGAAAAAAGACCACTCCAAAACGCAAATTTCATTCCTCCTCTCGTTCCATTCAATGGAATCGAGACTGCATTCGCTGTCGAGGACGTTTTTGGCGTAATTTTATGGCCATTTGAAATTGTTTTCCTTTACTGGTGCTGCCTTTGAGCTGGTGCTGCTGCCCTGCCTGCCTGCCTGCCTGCAATCGCAATTAAAATAAATTGCATTCACTCAAAGGATTGACTGTGACGACGATGGCGCACCGGACTGTTTTCAGAGCTGACTGACCAGCCAAACGGTGGGCTCCATTCCTGTATGCTCAAAAGGTTTAAAAACCCATCAAAAAAACGAAAAAGTTTTATAGAATCCAGCGCGTTTTTATTTAATTAGTTCGAGGGTTGCTTAAAGAGCGTCAAAAGTCTTGTATTATCACAGAAATTAAATGAAATTATTTCATGAAAGAAAATCAAAACAGAAGGATGTTTTCTCAAATGTGGATTTCTCAATGTGATGGAGGTGGAAGAACACTTTTGGAATCCATTTAATAAGTTTGGTAATCGCATGAATCTCTCTATTATGTAAACAAGTTTTGAGTGGTCTTCTTTGGATATTTTACTCATTTCGGCGTGAGCGGGCGAAGCGAGTGAGCCGGGGGTTGGCGTATGAGTGAAGCGATCCTCAATCTTTGTAGGCAGTTTGGTACTAGAGTAGCTCCAAGATAAGGCAAAATGAGTTTTTGAATGTCTGAAATGAATCCTACGAGTTCAGGATTCAGAGAGAGCAGATACTATTCAACGAATACGGTTTTCTGTATGCTCTTGATAGTTCTGTATGGTTCCTCCTTTTTCTATTAACTTCTCTCTGCTCTTTCCATTCATCATACACTCGATTAACACAATACTCTACCACTGAATACTCAACGGGTCCTTGAATCAGGTACAGCACCCATGTTCATGTTCAAGCCCCACCTGGATTATTGCACCTTTCACTTGCCATAGATGCTTCATTATCATGTAAATGTTGTCAAAAACAAATGGCATTAAATTGGGCAGCTTATTCAAATTAAATTCCAGTCAGTCAGTGTTGCATTTGGCCAGGCAAATGCTGTTGCCGAAAAATAAGCTAATTAAAATGGAGCACATAGTTTATAAATTATATTTTCGGTCTGCGGTCTGCGTTGCCATTTTGGATTATTTATACGGCCCGAAAATGGCCAAAAGTCCCCATGTGCACACATAACAGAGTTTATGCGAAATATTTGAATTATTTTCGAGGGTGTTTTTAAAGGTTACTTAGTTCGCAGCCTTTTCATTCCCAAAATTAATAATTGAACAAATTTGAGTGAATTCTTAAGTTTTAAGTTACGAATTTACTGTGTGAAAAGGCAAAAGGTCGAAGATCTCGACTGCGAGATACCCTGCGAGAGGATTTTCGAGCTCGCAAAAGTATCTTCCTATCGATGAAGATGGCCCACATGATAATGGCTCGCTGCCACATGGGTCTGCTCAAGGATCGCTTGACCAAACTACACTCGGATCCCAGCAAAGATGAGGAGGAACACCAGGAGGATCTGAATAGATGCATCCATGACCACTGCGTGATACTGGAGTAAGGTCATTGCCTCATCGGTTTTATAGGTACGGTCATTATATGGTCTTCCCTTAGCTATGTGAATCTTCTGCGACCCGTCTACTCGGTCACCATTTTCGTGCAGTTCCTGTTGATTGGCCTGGTTCTGGGCCTGTCCATGATCCACGTCATGTTCTTTTCCAACTTCTGGACAGGAATTTGCACCATGTGCTACATGTTCGATGTGTGCCTGGAAACCTTTCCGTTCTGCTACCTTTGCAACATAATCACCGATCATTGCCAGGATCTAGCGGACAGTCTGTTCCAATCGAATTGGATGGCAGCCAGTCGTAGATACAAGTCCACGTTGGTCTACTTTCTGCACAACCTCCAGCAGCCGATTGTCCTCACAGCTGGCGGAATTTTTCCCATCTGCATGCAGACCAATTTATCGGTATGAACTGATATTTTCTGAATGAAACAGTATTGTATATTGCTTTTCGATTCTTTGAAGATGGCGAAGATGGCCTTTTCTGTGGTCACCATAATAAAGCAGTTCAATCTGGCGGATAAGTTTCAGTAGGAAAACACTACCAAACTTGACTAGAGCTTGCAAATATTTATTTATTATGTAATGAAGTAGAAATTATGGTCACAAAAACGTTAAATAAAGGAAGTAGACCCAAGTAGACATCGTGTTGCGGAAAATTTCCTTGGCGTTCACCCCGTTGATGGTCCTTGCTATTATACTCCTTACACCCAGTGAATGTTCTATGATGCCTCGCATCAGCTACAGGACCCGTTCATTATTTTTTGTAAAGGTTATTTCATTCGCAGCTTTTCCATTCCCAAAGTTAATAATTCAACAAAATTTCAGTGAAGTTTAGTTTGAAACCAAAAAAAGTATTTTTATGTTAAGAATTTAATATGTGAAAAGGCGAAAGGTTGAAGATCTCGACCAAAAGATACCCTCTGAATAGATGGCAGCACTTGACGGGAATTCCAAGCCCCCAAAAGGGCCATCAATACATTCATTGGATACTCCTACCGATTGCTTTATAATTCGATCGACTGGCAGATCTACCGTTCAATTCAGAGGCTCATATATTTCAAAATTACTTCAAAACTACTGGACAAGCACATCATGCCCGCGTTGTGGTCGGAAAACTGGCAAGTCATGCAAGAAAACCACAACAAACGGGCGAACTATAAAAGACACTTGACCCTCAACCCTCAACAATATTCAAGGAAGAACGGCCAAGATGTTGAGCAAGCTTGTGCCCCGCATCAAAGCCAAGCCACTGACGGAGAGGACTAGCTCCCGCGATGCCTTTGTCTACTTGGATCGAGTGCAGAAGTTCTTCGGCTGGACAGCGGTCGAGGATAAGAGGTGGAGGATCCCCTACATTCTGTGGGGTATTTTCATGAACCTGCTGCTGATCTTCTTCCTGCCGATCTCGATGCTGGTGGCATACATTCAGATGTTCAAGAGCTTCACGGCGGGCGAGTTTCTCAGCTCCCTGGAGATCACGGTGAATATGTACGGATGCGTTTTGAAGTGCATCTACACCATTTGGGGCTTCAAGGGGTTTACGGCAGCCAGAAAGGTGCTCGACGAGCTGGACCTGCGCTGCACCAGCGACGAGGAGCGGACCAGTGTGCACCGCTGCGTGGCTCTGGGGAACCTGAGCTACGTGTTGTTTCACATCTTCTACTCGGGATTTGTGGTCATCAACTGGACGGGCTACGTCCTGATGGGCAGGCACGCCTGGATGATGTACCTCCCTGGGCTGGACGCTGAAAATAACTTCTTCGTAGCCAGCTTGTGCGAGATGCTTCTGATGAGCGGCGTGGTCACCATGGATCAGTGCACGGACGTCTCTCCTCTGGCCCACATGCTGATGGCTCGCTGCCACATCTGTCTGCTCAAGGATCGGTTGACAAAGCTGCGCACGGACCCCACCAAAGACGAGGACGAACACTACGAGGAGCTGAGCAACTGCGTCCACGACCATCGCTTGATATTGGAGTACGTAGCTTCCCCGTCTGCACTATTTTTGTATGCGATTAAAACGTCCACATCCCCCCACCTTCCTAGCTATGTCAAGGCTCTGCGGCCCACCTTTTCAGGGACCATATTCGTGCAGTTCCTCTTGATTGGTATAGTTCTGGGCCTGTCCATGATCAACGTCATGTTCTTCTCGACCCTCTGGACGGGCCTCGGCACCGTGTGCTTCATGTTCTGTGTGTGCCTGGAAACCTTTCCCTTCTGCTACCTTTGCAATATGATCATCGATGATTGCCAAAAGCTATCGGACAATCTGTTCCAATCGGATTGGACGGCTGCCAGTCGCAGATACAAGTCCACGCTGGTCTACTTTCTGCAGAATCTCCAGAAACCGATTATCTTAACAGCGGGTGGAGTGTTTCCCATCTGCATGCAGACGAATCTATCGGTAAGAACTCTTCGGATAGTCTCTATATATCCTTTATATAACCTCTCGATTCTTTGAAGATGGTGAAGCTGGCTTTTTCCGTGGTCACCGTTATAAAACAATTCAATCTGGCGGATAAGTTTCAGTAGGAAAGCACTACTAATAGGACATGAATATGTTCATCAGTTTAGGGCGAGGTCCATCCCCAAGAAGGGATGCAAAACATACCTAAGTTGATTAGACCTTGATATTGATACTTCGTTGTCAATTGTGTAGGAACTAGTATCACAAAAACGTTATCTAACGAAAGTAGCAACTGATTTCACCTGTAGAAGAAAATAAATCTTTAAATGCAGATTTTTCCTTGGGCAATATCGTATTTTGCCACCATTTTCCGTGGCCTGCTATGAGTCATCGAATCAGCTACAGGACCCCTATATATCCCCACCTTGCAGTTTATGTACTATTGGCTTCATTATCATGTAAATTTTACCAAAACAAATGTCGTTATGCAATTAGGCAGGACATTGCAATTGGCAGTGCAGCAGCAATGCATGCAAATTCTGTTACCGAAAATAGAGCTAATTATAAACGAGGAGACCATTTATACACGTAATTTATATTTTCGGGGCTTGCATATCGCTCTCTGCGGTTTCTATTCCATGTGACATCATTTCAACGGCCAAAATTACCATAAAAATAATGAATTTTCACATTCCCACATGTAATAAGGTTCTGGTTAAGCCAATTCAGTCATTTCAATCCCTTGCGGGACTGAACTTTATTTCGAAATTGGGGTTATAGATTCAAAAACATCTTCTAAACGTTTTAAAGACTCCGAAGTGGTTTCGGAGACTGAATTTTTGACCCATTTCTTGAAAAAGGGTACCCGAACTCAACTAAGTCTTGGAACATTCAACTTTATAAGACTATAAATAGTGCAGGCAATGGTTCCAAATCTTTTTGTTGGATCCACAACCATAAAAACACCTCTGCTCTGCTGTTTGCTTCGATTTTTCCTCTGTGAAACGTTAAACGTTGACGTTAAAGAATTCTTCTTCATTTAAAAAAAAATAAATATACAATTTTTCGATTAATTAACAGACTCGTCAAAAGATTCTGCGGCACATTCGTACCGTTCGACGTATCTTTCGACTGCGTTTAATTTGCATATGGATGGCGGTGGCCTTTTGTGTCCGCTTCCGCAGCTGTGTCTGTGTCTGTGTCCTCAATGCCAAAGAGTCAATATTATTACGGTCTACGCATACCATTTCGGTGGTGGAGAGGGCCAGGGGGAGGCAACCGCAAAGCGTTGGCAAAAATGCTTTCAATTAATTAAACACCCGAAAAGCGACACCGTAATGAAAATGCAATGTGCTGAGAGAGCGAATAAGAGAGATACGCGTACAGAGTGGCAAACTCGACCGACTCAATCAAAAAGGAATGCCAATGTGGTTGAATGTCGATACCTGAGATACCCTTCCAGAGGTATCTCTCTATTGGAGCTGCTATACGATACTATATGACTCTGATTGCGATCAAAATTTGGATCAGCAACCGATTAAAGATCCTGTAGCATGTGCCAAGGAAGGGACTTGGTAGCAAAGGCGCGGAAAGGTGCTCTCTTCTCCTGGGTAGAAAAATGCCCCTACAGCACCCAACCAGGACATAGGCCCTCTCTTGCTCTCTCTATCTGCTGCTGTGTGCGTGTCTGTGGCTAGTGCGGCATGCAGCTCATTAATAATACAGATAATGTGTGTTGGAGGCAATCATTTTTCGGTTGCATGCCAGCGCGGTGGCGCTGATTAACACAGCCACCGGTCAGCAGAATGTCAGCGAATACTGAATGGTGGGTGGCATGGAGTGTGTGGGGGCCAATGCCATGGGTTAAGAGTAACGGGAATGTGGGACAACGAACCATTACAATTCGAATTAATGGCGTTTTGGTAATGTTTTTACTGTGTTAATGGCATGTTCAGTGGTACATATGTATATCGAAGGATTGGGCACCGGCTTAATGGCATCTCAGTCATATATCTTGCAATTCTGTAAATTATAATCGAAAATCATTTTAAATGTAGGTGTGCATGGCCTGGAAGACTCTTTTAAGGGATGCACTTATTGCTTTCTTAAGAGCTTGAAAGACTCACGACTCTCAGACTGAAATATTTTGTTAATTAACTGAAGATTATGTATATGACTTCTACAGAAATTATAACCCGAATCAAGCTGTAAAGCTAATGAGCTTTTTCTTTTTCTTAAGGTTTTGAAGTTTTTAAAAAATAAAAAGTCGAATGGGTTTAAAGAAAGGCACAACTTACTCTTATGTGTAGACTCTACAATATTGTAGAGCGACGTATTGCTCTTTATTCGCAGACGAAAGCATGTACTATGTATGTATGTACATATGTATGTCGGTCTACGTGGGAGCGACCGATGAACAACCGAAGACCGACCAAGGCCAGCGACCCGAATTGTCCGAATTGTTTCGTTAGAAATTGAAAGAACGAAAAAGAGCGACAGAATGAGAGCGCTAGATCAGGCTCGGGCTGCAGCTAAACCTCGAACGAGCGACAGACAGAGCGCGAGCGAGCTGTAGGAACGAAGAGGGTGGACAGAGAGGCGAAAGAACGGCCACTGCAGCGCGTAAGCATTTACGGTAAAGCATCGATTTGATACAGTGGGCAGTGCAAATAGCGAACAATATTGCTGGCTATTATTTAATTTGGGAGTCCCATTTAATGAACAACATCTGGGATGACAGCTTTTGGGAACGGTTCTTGGTGAATCAAGGATTCAAGGTATCAAGGAACTTATCAGTGTGCGTGACTGTATCAGCAGGTACCCTCTTTTCTTGCTTTTGTTGTTTTTAATTAAGCGTTTACATTTGCAGTGCATTTCGAGTCACCTTTTCCTGGTCAGAGCTGGAAAAAACGCTTTATTCTAAAGTAAATTCCCAAAGGGGGAAAGCAAAGTGTTTGCATTTCTTGACTTCAAATTAACAAATGCCCTGGGCACCAGTCCAGTCCCGCATCAGCATAAATTGATATACTATAAAGCGGGAAACTTAAAGTTTGGTCAATAAATCTACTGCTCTCGGAGCGACAGTCCCTTTCGCGCTGTCCACTTAATAAAGTGCAAACAGGCAAGTGATTATTTCACAGCTATTGTTCGACGCGTACTCTCTCGCACCCCCACGACAGCGTTCGCTGCAGGGAACCGGATGCGGGCAGGAGACGGCGGGGACAACTAGGGAGGGAGCTGGTCCAACAAAAGGATTTGCGTAATAACCAAAGAAACGAACCAGAAACAGTAACAGAACCACCCGAAACAGATATAAAAAATACAATAACGAAAAGAAAGCGCGAAAAATTGTACAGCGTGAAAAAAAATGTAAAAGTACGGGCATATTACAATGGCAGCAAAAGATGGAGAGGGAGGAGAGCTGGGGAGTTGGAGATGGGCCGGCGGGTCATCTGCTGTCCAGAGTGCTGCTGTAGAAATTTACGAGCTGCTTTATGGCCACCCACACACACACACACACACACGACACACACGTACCGACATCGACAGGAAAATGGTCACGCACTGAAACTCATACGCTCACTCATACTCATTTGCCTCGAGCTAGCAGTCCTCTCAGCCACGCACACAATATAGAGAAGGAGAGCGTGAACAAACAGATCCGTTTACTCTCTCTCTCTCCTTTTCGATTTCACATGCACACTGGAAAAAATGTATGCCATTGAATGGTAAAAAAATGCCCAAAAAATGAATATATACTCCTACTCATGGCTAACGATCCATTGAACGAGCCTAAGTATTATCCAGTAATCAAGGATGATTTGTAAATTGTTTTTCTAGTGTATTTATTATACTCTTGATTACATAAATCCCCACACGCACACACACGGAGAGTTGAGATATAAACATTTATGGGAACTTCGAACACCCCTTCATTGAATAAAAATCACTCGTAACAGAATATTTGCATTTTGCGGAAAAGAAAATCGTGTGGAATGAACTGTAGATATGGAAAACTTGCTCAAACAAGCTTAAAATTAGCTGAACGGTGATTCATAATCATGGCAGCTAAAAGCTTCCACATTCATGCCATATTCCACAACAAAAGTCCGATCATCGGTTGGAGCAACATGCACAATACTAAGACTCGTAAATATTGAACTTCCTGCGAAATTCAAATTTAGTTGCTAGATAACCATGGAGGGGTCTATGGCACGAAAAAAAAAACTCACAAATTAGCGTTCATCATCAATCATCTGTTGGAGCTGGTGCTGCCACAGAGCGGCAGCAGCGTCAGTCGAGGCCAATCGGGTAGAATGCTGACGCTAATTGCAATTTGTGGTTGCATGCAGCAGCACCAGAAGAGGCAGCAACCAGCTCGATGCTAGTTCACGTTACAATCGCTGGCAAACATCGTTTGGATTTTGGCCCCCCACCACGTTCCACGTCCCGCAACCCACATCCCATGCCCTGCACCCCTTCCGCCAAGGATGATGATGGATTTCGGTTGGAAAGTGCCGCGAAGTCGAAAAACCGCACCATACGAGGAGTCATCCACTCTATTCCACGCAATTCAATTGGAGGAAGTTTGGGACTCGGGCTGGGTAACGTGCAACGGGTAACCAGGTAAACTCAATCAAGGACAGGTGGCCGACAACTGCTTCCATACAACATACTCGTATTCAAATCAAGTGTTCAGTGTTTGCCCAGAGGGCTGAAAGGCTTCGTGTTCAGTGTTTATCCTGCGTATGCACACTCGTAAATCGTTGTGAGTGTATAGGTATCTATCCATCTTTGATCTTTCGTCCTTAAATATTCAAAATTTTGCTTTCATCTTAGCAATAAACTTATAATGGCTTAAGCAGCGGAAGCTGTCTGGCATCCAAAATGCAAATGAAGCTTAAAGGTAGGTAATAAGCGAGTTACTAGAAATGGTAAGCGTCCTTCATTGCATCTTAATGTAAAGGAAACAATGAAGGACATTGTATTATGAGAGCTGAAACCTCCTATTGGAAGATGCCGAGACTTTAAGAGAACTCGGAGAGACATTAGAAGCTATTAGAACATCTCCTTCAAACCGTTTCGATTAATTTGGAATCACATTACCGTTTCTCAGCCTGTTCATAACCGTTTCCCAGAAAACTAGCGGCTCTGTCGAACGGGTAGGCCCCGACAATGCTGTCAATTGCTCATTAATACATCATGCTTACTCGAGCTCAGTTATAGTTTTACTCTTATAAATATACTAAACACATAAATAAAGTTTCAAAATTTGTGTATTACCCATTATGCCTGTGACAAACGAGGAGCTTAACAAGGACAATGCCAGTGTGTCGGAGACTCCCGGCAAAGCTGTTAATCAGAGAGTCAGCCGCAGCTCATTTGAACCTTTACCGCGGATTGATGACAGGCAGACATTTAGGTTTGTCCAACGTAAAGTGACGATCATGTCGTCGCAAAGTCCCTTCACGGTTTCAAAAAAGAAACTGAAGCCTTGGAAGAGGAAGGTGAGTTCGCGGACTTTTATAGCTCTGACATTGAAGTCACTGACTAGACGTCGAGATCTAAGCACAGTTCTGCTGCTTATATGTCCGTCGTCGAAGTGCGATTGCCATAGGATCCACATATATAGCTCTAGAAGCCATAAACATTTGGGCTCGGCGAAGCTGACCATCGAAGAGGCGGATTTGCTCGAAAGCCATCGCAATCTGGACAACTATTCGGTGGCCTACTGCTCACTGCCGCTCACCCTGCAGGACGCAGCTAGCAATAGCCTGATCAAGAAGCAGATCTTCGATTTAGCCCAGGATCCGTCGCAGATTCCGCGGCATTTATTGCACCAGGGCAAACCGCTATGCATTTCCACAAGTTTCTTGCTAAACGATAAGGGTGACAACCAATATAAAATGGGGGACTTCAAGGATCAATTAAACTCTATTAACAGCAAAACGTTGGAAAAAAGGTTCCTGTTTTTGAGGTCTCAGGATAAAAAGGAGCAGAAGAAGGCTATGCAGTCGAGACTCATTATAAAGGAGAGAAAATCCCAACTCCGCCTACTCGCCCGGAAAATTCGTCAGCGCTCATACAGGGAGTCAGTGGCAGAACCTGTCAAAAGTCTATCTGCAAGAATAAAAAGCATTCACACCAGTCCGCCTTTGACACCGGGAACTGACGATGCTCAGGAGGTCAGTCAACAAACATTACGGGAGTATCCACGTCGTTTTACATCTACATCTCTCTGCAAGCCCATAACTAATGAGTTTCCTAAGGACATAAAAGAAGATGGGCGTTCGTCACAGAAGAGGATTCGAAAAACCATGCCCGAGTCTCCGCGTCGAATTCCATCCATCCGAAACTATTCTATGCGCCAAACCAAACACAAAAAGAAACGAAAACAGCATCATCGCAAGCCACAGGAGCAGAACCAACGAGAGCTAGTCTTCTCTACGACTCGCAATGACGTTCTGCACAAGCGAGTAGCTGAAGAAAATGACGCAAACAAACAAGACGAGGACTGGGGCAACGTACAGGGGGAGAGTCATCAAGCATGGCCCCAGCTTAAAAATGATGAAGCCCAGAGGAATCCAGACGAAAACAGCAGCTTAAAAGAGGAGCAGATTCCGCAACTTTTTCCCGAGTCTCCGCGTCGACTTGCACCCATACGCAACAGTGCTTCGGCTGAAGACAAAACAGATGAGCTCCAAAAGAAACGAAAAGAGCATCATCGCAAGCCACAGGAGCAGAACCAACGGGAGCTAGTCGTCTATCCAACTCGCAATTCCGTTCTGCACAAGCGAGTAGCTGAAGAAGATGACCCAAACAAACAAGACGAGGACTGGGGCAACGTACAGGAGGAGAGTCATCAATCTTGGCCCCAGCTTAAAAATGATGAAGCCCAGAGGAATCCAGACGAAAACAGCAGCTTAAAAGAGGAGCAGATTCCGCAACCTTTGCCCGAGTCTATGCGTCGACTTCCACCTACACGCAACAGTGCTTCGGCTGAAGACAAAACAGATGAGCTCCAAAAGAAACGAAAAGAGCACCATCGCAAACCACAGGAGCAGAACCAACGAGAGCTAGTCTTCTCTCCGACTCGCAATTCCGTTCCGCACAAGCGAGTAGCTGAAGAAGATGACCCAAACAAACAAGACGAGGACTGGGGCAACGTACAGGAGGAGAGTCATCAATCTTGGCCCCAGCTTAAAAATGATGAAGCCCAGAGGAATCCAGACGAAAACAGCAGCTTAAAAGAGGAGCAGATTCCGCAACCTTTGCCCGAGTCTATGCGTCGACTTCCACCTACACGCAACAGTGCTTCGGCTGAAGACAAAACAGATGAGCTCCAAAAGAAACGAAAAGAGCACCATCGCAAACCACAGGAGCAGAACCAACGAGAGCTAGTCTTCTCTCCGACTCGCAATTCCGTTCCGCACAAGCGAGTAGCTGAAGAAGATGACCCAAACAAACAAGACGAGGACTGGGGCAACGTACAGGAGGAGAGTCATCAATCTTGGCCCCAGCTTAAAAATGATGAAGCCCAGAGGAATCCAGACGAAAACAGCAGCTTAAAAGAGGAGCAGATTCCGCAACCTTTGCCCGAGTCTATGCGTCGACTTCCACCTACACGCAACAGTGCTTCGGCTGAAGACAAAACAGATGAGCTCCAAAAGAAACGAAAAGAGCACCATCGCAAACCACAGGAGCAGAACCAACGAGAGCTAGTCTTCTCTCCGACTCGCAATTCCGTTCCGCACAAGCGAGTAGCTGAAGAAGATGACCCAAACAAACAAGACGAGGACTGGAGCAACGTACAGGAGGAGAGTCATCAATCTTGGCCCCAGCTTAAAAATGATGAAGCCCAGAGGAATCCAGAAGAAAACAGCAGCTTAAAAGAGGAGCAGATTCCGCAACTTTTGCCCGAGTCTCCGCGTCGACTTCCACCTACACGCAACAGTGCTTCGGCTGAAGACAAAACAGATGAGCTCCAAAAGAAACGAAAAGAGCACCATTGCAAGCCACAGGAGCAGAACCAACGAGAGCTAGTCTTCTCTCCGATTCGCAATTCCGTTCTGCACAAGCGAGTAGCTGAAGAAGATGACCCAAACAAACAAGACGAGGACTGGGGCAACGTACAGGAGGAGAGTCATCAAGCTTGGCCCCGGGTTAAAAATGATGAAACCAAGATGAATCCAGAAGAAAACAGCAGCTTAAAAAAGACGCGGATTCCACAACCGTTGCCCAAGTCTCCGCGTAGACTTCCACATATACGCAACACTGCTTTGGCTCAAGGCAAAACAGATGAACTCAGAAAGAAACGAGAAGAAGATAGGCGCAAGCAACAGGAACGGAACCAACGAGTTCTAGCCTTCTCTCCCACTCGCAATATTGATCTACGCAAGCGAGTAGCTCAAGAAGCTGCCCCAAACAAACAAGAGAAGAGTCTGCCGACTATGCTCGAATTTCCGCGTCGTCTACCATTTATGCGTAGCACTGCTCTCCGCAAACTCAAAGCTAAAGAGGTTTCGAGGAAGAGCGCAGAGGACGACCGACCAAAACAGGAGGTGACTCAACAAACTTGGCCCGAGTCTCCGCGTCGTCTATCATCTGTACGTAACTCAGCCATGCGCCAAACCGTAACAGATGAACTTGATGAGGAACGAGAAGAGGAAAGATGCAAACAACAGTCTGCTCTGAGCCAAAGTCAATCCAATGAAGTTCAGAGGAATCCAGAAGAAGACAGCGGACTAACAGAGGAGCAGATTCCAAAACCTTTGTCCAAGTCTCCGCGTCGACTTCCCTCTGCACGCAGCTTACCTATGCGGCACATCAAAATCAAAAAGAAACAAAAAGAGGACAAAAGCAAGCCACAGGAACAGAACCAACGAGCGCTAGTCTGCCCTCCGATTCGCAATTCCCTTCTGCACAAGCGAGTAGCTGAAGATGATCCAAAAAAACAAGTCGAGGAATTGCGATCAAAGAAAGAGAAGAGTATACAAGCTTTGTTCGAATCTCCGCGTCGTTTACCATTTATGCGGAGCACTGCTCTGCGCAAACTCAAAGCTTATGCGGTTTCGAGGAAGAGTGCAGAGGACGACCGACCAAAACAGGAGGTGACTCAACAAACTTGGCCCGAGTCTCCGCGTCGTCTATCATCTGTACGTAACTCTGCCATGCGCCAAACCGTAACAGATGAATTTGATGAGGAACGAGAAGAGGAAAGATGCAAACAACAGTCTGCTCTGAGCCAAAGTCAATCCAATGAAGTTCAGAGGAATCCAGAAGAAGACAGCGGACTAACAGAGGAGCAGATTCCAAAACCTTTGTCCAAGTCTCCGCGTCGACTTCCCTCTGCACGCAGCTTACCTATGCGGCACATCAAAATCAAAAAGAAACAAAAAGAGGACAAAAGCAAGCCACAGGAACAGAACCAACGAGCGCTAGTCTGCCCTCCGATTCGCAATTCCCTTCTGCACAAGCGAGTAGCTGAAGATGATCCAAAAAAACAAGTCGAGGAATTGCGATCAAAGCAAGAGAAGAGTATACAAGCTTTGTTCGAATCTCCGCGTCGTTTACCATTTATGCGGAGCACTGCTCTGCGCAAACTCAAAGCTTATGCGGTTTCGAGGAAGAGTGCAGAGGACGACCGACCAAAACAGGAGGTGACTCAACAAACTTGGCCCGAGTCTCCGCGTCGTCTTTCATCTATACGTAACCCTGCTATGCGCCAAAGCAAAACTGATGAACTCGAAAAGAAACGAGACGAGGGCAGTTCCAAACAACAGTCTCCTCTGAGTCAATGCAAAACTGATGAAGCTCGCGACGTAGACAGCCGCTCAACACAGGAGCGGATTCCAAATGCTTTTCCAGAGTCTCCGCGTCGTCTACCATTTATGCGTACCTCTGTTCTGCACAAGCCCAAAGCCAATGAGGTTACCAAGAACAGAGCAGAAGACGGCCGACCTAGGCAGGAGGAGCGTGAACAAACTATGCGAATCTCCGAGTCTCCGCGTCGTCTATCAGCTATCAAACGACAGTCTGCTGTGCGCCAGCTCCAAGCTGATGAATCCCAGGAAGGTCCAGAAGAAGTCAGCCGCCTTAAAAAGGAGCAGATTCCACAACCTTTGCCCGAGTCTCCGCGTCGACTTCCATCTGTACGCCAAACCAAACCAAAGCGCAAGGAACTGATCCAAAGAGCGTGTACCCTTCATTCGGCTCGTAAATCTGATCTGCGCAAGCAATTATCTGAAAAAGCTGTTCGAGATAGGCGAGACGAGGACTGGCCCAAAGAACAAGTGCGGAATAACATAACGTTGCACGCGTTACCCAACCAGCAAGACAAACAAATTCCGGATAATGCCCGGAACACCCCAAAAGATACCAGGAGCACACTACAGATGCGGATTCATCCAACTTTGAAGAAGAATCGAAGTCTAATGTCGAAGGCGTGGAAAGCGAAGACCCGCGCAGAGCCAGATAAGACTGAAGTTGTGTCATTGATATCGCCGGTAAATCTGGTTGACTCGGTGGGTCATGTACCGACGCTGTTCCCCGGCATCGAATGCCCCAATTCAATCTTCCAAACATCATCAACATCGTTTTGTCGCCTGTATAAGCCAGTAAAGATTCCTGCCGAGTTCTCTCCTGCAGCCTGCCTTCACCTTAAGGGAAAGTTACGCAATCTGAACATAAATCGAGCCTTTTCAAAATTTGTCAATCTAGTGAATGCTATCAACAGCACTGCCAATCCCTTGGTCGATCACCTGCTATTCTTCTTCCAGTTCGCCGAATTCATTGATTTGAAGATGTACGCCAGAAAGATTCTCTACCGTTCGAGGTCCTCATCCACCGAGGAAGCGGAACCTCTACGTTTCCAAATTGAGTGCTACGTTTTTGAGGACCGTCGAGACTATGTTACCTCCATCTCCATGGCATCCGAGCCACTGCTGCGGATTAGAGAAGCCATTCCGGGAGTGGAGCGTCGCTTGAAATTAATCGATGATGTCTTTGAGCTGACCAACGTTCCCCCAATCATTGCCAAATGTCTAAAGATGGCCCTAAACGCCGTTGATGCTGCACCTCTCTACCATATAATTGGTGAAGTGCTCTATGCGATGAAGTACCCCGAGGAGTCGCTAATTCAACTCAATTGTACCCCTTGAGGTGAAACATGACGATACATGATGATTATTTGTTTTGAAATATATACGAAGTTTCCTAAGTTGTTGACTATTTTTCTCGTAGCAAAGCCCCCAAAATGTGCCCAATAATGTGATGACGAACGATTCCTATAAATCTTGAATTTTTCGTATTCGTTCCTTACCTGAATGTTCTACGAGACGCTTTTAGCTCAGGAACAATGCTCTCCAATGCTATGAGGCCTCCAAGTCGTGGGCGTATCCTTGTGACTTGCAGCTTTGAGCAATGCTGTTGTTTTTCCAAACATGTCTCCCCTATAATTATGCCAAATTGTAGACGGGCAGTGCATACTAATGTCACCAGATTTCCTTTTCCCACAGTGCAACTGCACTGCACTGCAATGGTTGAAACAATGACTGGAATTACTCGCATCAAAGTTGTTCTTGAATTTTAATGATAATAAAAATACTTAGTCGATAAATATCATTTAATACATAAATCGAGAACTAAGTACACGAGGACACACACGCACACACTGACAGTGCTCAGTCATGGCAGCTGCCACAGGAAGTCCTATATGGGAGCCCTGTATGTGCGCTGCTTCTCTGCTGACTGACTTCCTTTATCCACCTCTGTCTTGCAGTGGCAGCTCGCTCGCCCCTTGGGTGCCCGAGCATTTGTGGCATGCGGGGCATGCGGCATACGCTGCGTATGAGCTATTTTCTTAAGCCAGCGCCAGTTTCCTCCTTTAACCTTTTGGTTGCCTGACTCGACTTCCTTTTGTAGGTGTGTGTGTGTGTGAGTGTGTGTTCGGTGCTCTGCGTCATGTGTGGCATGCGAAACATGCAAGGTTTTCCCCTCCGGCCACCATTCTCATTGAAAGCATCTGAGAGTTATTTTTATGGAGCTACTTTATGCGTCCATCTGGGCGAGTATGTGCCGTAGCAGCCCCAAACAACGTGGCACAAAAATGTGCCATCAACGTGTCTGGTTGGGTTTATTTATAAGCAGGAAGACTAAATATAATTCCTCTTTAAGTTGCTTCTTATTGAATAATGTTTAGAGAGCTGTACAAAAACGAACCCTTTATTTAGATTAGTTTTTTGATATAAATCCATTTATTATAATTACTGTCTATTATATAAAAAAAGTTTGGTCGTCGCGGTGGTCTCGATATTTTACTCGTATGGAAGCGAGCACTCGCTCGCAAGCTACAGAAGCGAGTGGGCCGAGATTGGCGCTCGAGGGAATACGGGTTGGATTATTAAGTTGGGACGATGGATCACAACCTATTGTCAGGGCTCGAACCAGATCGAAGCTAAGAACAGGGGAGTGGAAGGAACCCGCTTGATTCTCTATCTTCTCGCTGTAGCTTAGTCACTGATTGTGGATCGCACCCTGTGCCCTGAGCTGGGACTGTGCTTTTGTTGGTGTAAACTAATACATGTCCCATTATGATAGGTTGGAGCTTAGAACGACTTTGATTAATTGTGGGAAAATTACCAAAAGCATCAAAAGTCTGAACGGTAATTTATGTGGATATTCTGAAGGGATTTTAAATGCGAGTCATTGTATATACAGATCTGAATTCTGAATGAAGGATGAAACTAAAGCTTTAAATGAGGAAATAAAAAATCGGTAGTAGACTTTTATTGCAGGGCAGGGTAAGATATTTTCTATTAGAATTCAGATCCGTTTCCAATGCAACACATCAGGTTTTCTCTGAGCTTGCTGTCTCCATCCCCACTCATTCTCTTGCTCAAACCTCATCGAAATATACTTCCAGTCGTAAAGCAAAAAAAAACCAGAGCCGAAAATTTTTTATTTGTAAATTTCTAAATTTTGTAAATTTCTCAAAACTCAACTCAATTTTTAATAATGGCAGCACTATCGGGACGCGCCCTGCACTATGTGCTGAAGATTGGAGACCGGGCCAAGAACGCCTTCTTCTTTCGCCAGATCCTGGGAATGAAGGTTTTGCGTCACGAGGAATTCAAAGAAGGTTGCGAAGCCGAATGCAATGGACCTTACGACAATCGGTGGAGCAAGACCATGGTGGGCTACGGTCCGGAGAGTTCCCATTTCGTGATCGAGCTCACCTACAACTACGGCGTGACCAGCTACGAAATGGGTAATGATTTCGGCGGAGTAACCATTCACTCTACTGAGATATTGCCACGCGCCGCCCAGCACTCGTACCCCATTGAAAAGACGGAAGGGGGCCATCTACTCACCTCGCCCGACGGTTACAAGTTCCATGTGATCGACCAGGCAGTTACGGAGGCCGACGCCGATCCCGTGCAGTCGGTGGAGCTGCGCGTGACCAATCTTGCGGCCTCGCGGCAGTACTGGGAACAGGTGCTCCGGATGCAGCCACTGGCGGAGAACAAGCAGTCCGTGTGGCTGACCTATGACTTCAAGCAGGCGTCGCTGCAGCTCACCCAGACTCCGGATCCCATCAATCGGGCCAAGGCATACGGTCGGATCGCCTTCGCTGTTCCCGCGGCAACGCAACAACCGCTGCACGAAGCAGTCGTGGCAGCCGGCGGCACGGTCCTGAAGTCCCCAATCACTCTGGAAACGCCCGGCAAGCCCGCCGTGACAGTGCTTATCTTGGCCGATCCCGACGGTCACGAGATCTGCTTCGTGGACGAGGAGGGATTCTCGCAGCTCTCCCAGGAGGAGCCCGATGGCGATCAGCGACTGGAAAAGTACCTTGCCAAGGATCCCTTCCAGTCGAAGTGAAGCCTCTCTGAGTTTTGTGGGAGTTTTCCACAAGATTTACATTTGTTTGATGGCCCAACTAGAAATTTATATCGTGGAAATCGGATATTTCGGATAAATATTGTATCAAAAACCTACACAGCACACACAGGCCGGCAGGAACATTAGGATCCGACATGTACACTCTCATTTTCCTTTCAAATAAATTCCCCTCTGTATTCTTTTCACTTGATTAGTTGGCTCTTCAAGGACTCTTAATTTTTTTGCTCATCTATTTTGCTGCCATAATTTATTGCTTGTAAGTATTCAAATTGCTGCTGAGAGAGCTGCAATCTAGACAAATTACCCATCCACTCATCTATTTTAGTTTTTTAATTAAAGCCAAGAGCGAGGTTGCTTGCATCCATGGGGGACGACCGTCGGAGGAGGAGGAGGAGCATTTGAGGGAGTTGTCCCAAAACATTTGCCAGACGCATCGGACATAAATCAAGTGAACGAGAACGAGTCCGACATGGACATGGCAGGACAACAAATCCAACAGAACTGCTTCAGTCCTGATAGCCCTTTCCCCACTCCACCCCACCCCACTCACACTCCCCATGGCCGGAGTGAAATTTTGTGAATTGCAGCTGGTCGAAACTGGAGGGCAAGGGCAAACTTTTTGGCGTAGAACTAACGAGCATCAGTGTAAACTGTCGTCGTTGCTGTCGTCGTCGTCGTCGATGGCTTCAGCTGCTGCCGGAGCAGCCCTTCTTGTTCCTGCCGCGTCGGTTCTCATTAAACGCCACGGCGTAAAAAAGTTCATGCGAACCAAAAAAAAGAGGCTGTATTAGTTTCTACTTCACTGCGATCCCAGGCCATGCCGTGTCAACATTTTTCCGCGGCGTTCAAATTAGTTGGGGACTTTGTTTTTGTCGATGTTCGAAGAATGGCGGGAAAGTGTGCGAAAAAGTTTCAAGGGAATGCAAAAATTGAATTTTATTGAAATTTAAGGCTACTAATTACCGAACACAGGGAAAAAAACACGGATATTATAGTATTTACACTCGGATTATTTGCGTGGAGAGTTTTATTTTGAGCGAAAAAAATAAAAATCATAGGTAATCATTATTTTTGAGTTATATTTTTTTTTTGTCATGATTAAGTTCAAGTTTTATCAAACTACACAACACTAATGATTATAGGTGGATTATAGGTTATATAACTTATAAGGATTAAGGTCCTTGAAAACATCACGTCCTTGGGGCGTGTGTTGGTGGTTACGATAATGTTTCCGCATAAAAGATAACTTCAACTTGCTAACCCTGGAATTTTCATTTAAGGCGGCAGCAGCTAGAACCAGTTGGGAATTATTGGTGCATCAAATATTAATATAAATTTATTTAATTTAAATACAAAAAAAATATTTATTTTTTAATAAATTCTGGCCTTCCCGTCGTGGTTCCGTCCTTTTCTTTTTGGGATGCGCTCCTCGTTGCTCGTCGTATTTTTAGGGATGGGATCATCCTTGCTGCTCCTTGTGTCTAAGGATCATATCATCATTTGGCTGGGATTTGCGTACCAAACTGTACACCAACCAATATACATATTTTTTTAAAATATTTTTAATTCTTGCCTAATTAATTAATTCTTGTTGACCCCGCTCTTAATATTCCCGTGCATACATAGTTTATTATTTCTTTAGTTAAGTAAATTTATTTCTCGTGCGAGGTTTAACTAAAAATTATGCTATCCCATTAATTGTTCTTTAAAATATCACCATCCCCTGTATCATGAATAAAAGCCACTGCCCATTTGCTCCACTTTATAGTCGTAAATATCTAACTGCCATAAAGTTGTTCCTTTTAGCCAAAGGATTCCCATTGGTACAATGCCCGGCAATATACGAGTAGTACATCTGTAAAGTTCCTGCTCGAAAAATCTCTCCAACTTTTGTTTCTAAGCAGCTATCTCTCTCCATCTCCATCTCCATCTCTATCTTTTTGTGTGTGTCTCACAAAAGATTCGCTAGGGACAGAGCAGCCGAAAAGTATGCAACACAATGCAACTGGAAATCGCAGCTGCAGGCGAAATTGGTACTGGATCCTGGATGCCTGGATGCCTGGTTCCCTGGTCCTGTTCTGTGTTCGGGCCTTGCTCCAGTCCTGGGGCGTGTTGTAAGCAAACTTTTGCAACATTTATCTTCGTTATTATGACGCTCGAATGGGCTATCAGCACGAAGACTGGAGCGAGCGACTGTTAAATATTTGGAGAAAAGATGGAGACTCCGAAGAGGAATAGGAATAAGAAGAAGGCCCCGTGAACTGCAATGGCTAAGCAGGCTCCTCACTCGTCCCCCCTCTGAAGTCTGTGCACTCGCTCCCAATGCGAAGTGTCTAAAAATTTTACAGCTTGTCATACAACCAGAGCCGGCGGGTTTATAATAAACGTATACTGTGATGAGAAAACTGTGACTTTCTGATAACAGTGATTATTAAATGGCATTCAACTTTTTTATGGAAGGAACAGAGATATATTCTGCAGAATATTCCCACTAAATACCCTTTGCTACCCCTTAGTCACATGCAATTCCCAATCGCATGGGCTGATATCATCTGTGCATCTCTGACATAGAGCAGGACAAGGACAAGCTTCACCAGAGCTGAATTTAGCTACTATTTCGGAGAAGACAAAGACCAGCAGCAGCATCCCAGTGGCAGTGCCACGCTGCGTGGCAGTTGTAAACGGGAAGGAAATGGCAACTTTTTCCTGCACTTAATTAGTTTGGGCATAAGTGGAGCAGAAAAAGTTGTCCGCCCAGAAGGAGGGATAGTTTGGTGGGGTACTAAAGCGGGGGGTTCGTCCCTCTTGGGTTTGTCAACTGTCTGTCGTTCCTGTTCTCCTCCTAAGGAAATTGCCTCATAAATGTTCATTACACAGTTCCCTGGAACTGGCAAATGTTTGCTCTGCATGGTAGTGGGGATGTGCGGGTGTTTTGTATCTGAATTTGGATGGATTTATACGGCTTGGTGGGTGTAACTTCCACCATTTCCACTGAGGATGTTCGCTGCATTCGAAGCGGAAATATTGTACCATCATTTTGGTTTAATTTTAGAAATGAACAAAGATTTCGCACTCATTTCAGCGCTGTTCAGCGTTGCCATATCACCTAACTCGAATCAGCTCACATTAATCATACGCCCCGCTGGTCAACTCGCGTTTTGTCGAGCAAATTGCTTGCCTCTCGAATTTCTTACGGTGTGGCATTATGCTGGCACTTCCAGACACACAAACAGCCCAGCCCGTACACGCAGCAATTCAAAAATATTAAGTGCCGCAGTTGGGCGAGTACTTAGTGGAGACAACAGATGGAGATGGGAGGATGGGCGTTGGGAGAAGGGAAAATGCCAGTCAAACAATGAGCAAACAATGGATGCCCCACGCGAGGGAAAAGCTGAAATGAACCCACAAAATATTGCTCACAAATGGGGAGAATCACCAGGGGGTGGAGGGAAGCGGGGTGGGGCAGGAGGCCCATAGAGATGCGTGCGTGATAGGGGCCTACAGGGGCCACTGCTTACCTTTTCGTACAAGGAGAGCCATAAATCATAGTCAAACTATTCTTCATTCTTAAACCATCTGTCGATTTTCCACCGATCAATGGCCAAAGCACGCGCTCATCTCCAACGAACTGCAGTCAAGTGGAGGACCAGGACCAGCACCAGGACCAGGCCAGGACCAGGACCAGACCCCACCCAAGTCTGTGGGCACACCATCGAAGCTACGTTTGTCGGAACTGTCACATTAAAATGGATGATTTATTTGCGTTCCTAATTTATTGCGCCACAGTCACCGGCCGCGTTTCAGGACGGGTCCCAGGCAGGATATTGAGTACGCGTAATGCATTACCGAGCGAATGGCAGCGGTAGAGGGATGGGAGCATGGCCAATGAACTCCGGGACACGCGCAGCGGGAAGCGGGTTTTTGGGAGCTCGAATAATGAATTTTACACGACACCAGCGCCGCTTGCCGCTTGCCGCGTGCCGCTTGCCACTTGCCACTTAATAATCGCATTAGAGCGCTAAGCAGCCCGCTGACAGATGCGGGGAGGAACCACATCCGGCATGAAAAACGCCCTTCCGTTCCGTTCCATTCTCTCCTGTTCCGTTACGCTTCATTCCATTCGATTCCAGGCCTTTTCAGCATCAACCAGGTAATGTTTTATTGTTTTGCTGATTGCTACAAATGACGGGATTCCTTTCCTTTGTTGGACTTCTTTGTTCGGTTTTCACGCGGCTAATGCGAGGGATTCATGATCCTGTTTAGTGAATGGCCATGTAATAAGTACAGGTGTGCAATTATCCCAAAAAACTCAGAGATGGCTAACCATTTCCTTGAAGGAATTCCCAGTCACTTCCAGGATTGAATCCCTCTGTGATTGAAGACAAATATCACCAGAGAACTGCTACAAATTCTAGTGCACTCTGAAGCATTCCTTTCCCTCAACAATCAATCTCGAACATCTTTGCCGGCTACTTCTAATTTGCACTTTACAACACTGACAGCCAGCGCCAAAGAGCAAACAGACAAAAAGTAATCGACAAGACGAGGGCCACATAGATAGAGAGAAAGAGAAAAAGAGAGAGAGCTCGCTGAGATAACATCTTCATCAGTTGACACCTCATATCCTTTGAACATTTTCCAATCGAGGGACTCTGCTGTCGCTGCTCCTTGGTTTAAGTCCATTAGAAATATTGCGCGTCCAACGTTCAATTTCTTTATTAGAAAAATCATTGGTTTTTCGCTTCTTTTTTTCTGATTTCTTTCTCTGTTGCATTCTGTGTTTGGCCAACTGGAATGGCAGCCAGTACGAGGAACAGGTCCAGGTCTAGGGCCAGGGCCAGGACCAGCACCAGGTCCAGGACCAGGTGAGGTTGAGATTGAAAAACACAAATAGACTTTGTAAACAGATGAAATGTTGGCACAGATATACTCGTGCTCTTACAGGGGATCCAATGGAACTTAATAGGTATGTGTGTGGGAGAGAAACGGACAGTGT